TTTTTTTTTTTTTTTGTATTTTAAGGAAGGATCTACAGGGTGTTCAGGGTCTCAGCCTCCTAAGAGCTGGAATTACAGGCTCATGCCACCACATCCAGTCTCAATTGCTGTCTCAGGGTGCCCCAGGGGTGGGGCCTGCACTGCAGACTGCAGGCCAGGGGTTCAAAGCTTGGCTCCTTCTCCTGCTTGCAGGTGCTTTAATCCTTTGAGCTATTTGGCCCGCCCACCTCTAGAGTTCTAAGACTCTTCAATTCCTCTTTAGAATGACTCAGTATAAATACAACTATTATTTAAATTGTACTCTAAATTTATTTGACTTTTCTCAGAAGAAACATAAATGGCTAATAAATACATGGAAAATATGTAAAACTGCTGCCTATTTCAGAAATGATAATCAAAACAATACTAAAATTGCACTCAACTCTTGAAAGAATGGTGAACAATAAATCGAATAATAAAAATTCCTGACAAGGCTGTGATGCGAAGAACCTGCCTATATTTTTGGTGGAATGTGAACTGGTGAAGCCACTTTGGAAATAACTTTTAGAGATACATCAGAAAGCAGAAAGTAGATATTTCACTCATCTAATAGATGAGAAGCTAGAATGATAGAAGCTATCCTTCTATTATGGATCTTCCAGAAAAGGTTAAAGCACCATATCACATTTATATGTGTCTGAGAGACAAATACATAAAGAAAATGTGCTACCTATACATAATGGAATACTAGATGATCAACTCCAGTTGGTCATAAACTTGAGTCACTTATAATAAAATTGATGCACCCTTACAATTGATATAGCTAAGTCCTGAAAACAATCCAGATGCCCATCAACTGAGGAATGGATAAAGATGTGATATTTTTGCCTAATGGAGTATTAATCCACCATAACACAGGATAAATCTGAAACTTTTATAGGTAAATGAGTTCAACAAGAGACCATACTCTTAAGTGAAATAAATCAGACCCGCATGTGCAAATATCATATTGTCTCCTTAGTGTGAGAACCTGAAAGAGAAAATGCAATCTGAAGGGTACAATACATAGTGAGAAAAAGGAATGAACTTATTCAAAAGGACAGAATTATTGACTTGAGGAGAAAGACAGGAAAGGGAGTGGGAGAGATACATCTATGTATACAGGCAGGGTGGTTTGGACAACTGTACTGTGCATTTTGCTGGTCTATGAAAAGGAGCACACAATGCTTAATTTGTTTTGTCTCCTTTTTTCACCTGTTTCTCGTTTTTAACTTAATTTCATACACATTTCTTTCTTTTTTTCATCTTCCAATTTTGCGTACATATATCTGTAAAATGAATAACTGGTTGGAACACAACACGATGCATTACAACAAGTACTGTGAAATTCATATTATTTTGCTAAGTGAAATTTTGTATCACTTGTAATTTTTCTGTTTTTATGCTATTTTGTACTCTTAAAAAATAAAGAAATAAAAGAATTGATCCTTCTTTAAAACACAAAGTTAAGTGCAACTGGTGCACAAGCTATTATTTTATCATTTGTTTCAAAGTATATAGGAAGATCAAAATAAAAGATGCTTAAAAGAAAACTGGATGTAGATTTTTGCAAATGGAAAGGGACCAAGAGACAAAGTAGGGGAAGGCAGAGAAGCAGAGGACACACAGCCTTGAGAGATGTGACTATGACCAAAAATCGCATTAAATAAAAAAACTGAGGGAGTCTTTTGCCTATTTTTTTTTAATGTTTTTGTTGCAGGGTCTCACTATGCAGCCTGGACTTGTAGTCATCCTCCTATTTTTAGCGTCCCCAATGCTGGGATTACAGGCATGCACCACCAAAACCCTGCGATGTGTTAATGTTGCTGGCAATCCATCTTTCTATCCTTGCTAGCATGCTTAATGTAAGACATCAGGAGCACTTTCCCTGGTCTCTAACACTGATGCTGCACATACAGCTGCTCCTAGAGCTTTATTTGCCCCACATCTGTCTTCATAGAGGCACCAGAACTGTCTCCCAGTAAATAAAATGTTGCATGACAATAATAGCACATGGGAAGATGAATGGGTCATGAAATAAAATAGGAAGTGCAGAACTAAATCCAAATACACAGGAAAACATATGAGACAAATGGAACTCAAGCTATTGATGAAAAGATGAAGCCTTCAGAGTATCAATTGAGTAAAAAAAGAAAAACAAAACCTAAAGTTGGGGCTGCTTTCACACCTTCTACTATAAACTAGGTGCTCACAAAAATAGAAAGGATTTAATTTTACAATATGAATCTGTAAGAGGACCAGTCAGAAACAGATTATAGTATGATATGAATATGTCAGTAAAAAAATGAACAAAATTTATGAATGCAGAACTTACAAAAATGGACTGGGGAGATAGCTCAGTAGTCTAAGTGCCTGCCTGGCAAGCACAAGGTTCCAAGTTCGATCATTGGTACCACATGCCATGCTAGCCCAGAAACTGGGTGTGGTGGTGCAAGATATAATCGAAGCACTGGGGAGGCTGAGACGGGGATCACGGTAAGTCTGAACTGCATAGTAAGGCCTTGTATCAAGCAAACAAACAAATAAATGAAAGAACTATTTACAAAAAAAGTAATAGAATTTCCCTTTTAATACACACAAGTACTGTAACATAACAGTAATATGCATCAAAAATAGGTATTAGAGTTTACCTATCAAGTTGGCAAAAATATAAATGATAATGCACACAAGTAGGAGACTACAGAATTAGGTATTGTGAGATATTGCATCTGGAGTTGTAAATAGTTTTTAAACTTTCTAAAAGGCAAATAGGCGGGTACCTGGACAAGTACAATTGCACAAACACTTAAATCAGGGCTCAGAATTTAGTCTACTGACATGCTTGCAAACATTCAAAGCACGGCATGTTACATTTTCCATGAAATTTAAGCTTCCATTTTCAATGAAAAAGAAATTTAAAAATCTGTCAAAGTGAAACTTTTAGAATTACATATATAGGATGAAGTATTATCTAGCTGAGAAAAAGAATTTGAGAAATTTAACCAATATTCTTACAAAAAAAAAAAATCCAGAAAGAGGCGTGTACTCACTCCTGCTTTTAGAACTGCATATGGACACTCTGCAACTAAGCAACAAATTAACAAAACAGCTGTAGCTCAGCTGGAGAACAGAGAAGACACAATAGTATCAGCAATTGCATTAGTAAGAGTCTTAACTTTTCTTTCTGCATCTACACCCGTGTTATCCAAAACCAGTGTGTTTCAATTCTTTAGAAAATGACTATATTGTATAAGACAGATTGATATTAATCCCTCTCCAAATACACCCCCTCTCTTCCATCACACTTACTTATCCCATCCCTGGTGCCAGTGTATGAAGTAGCTCTACAATTCTGCTTTCATGAGCGCCTTTATTTTAGCTGCTCAGCTGCCTCAGTGTCCTGAATCCTTTCACAATCCCTTGCTCTCCATTTGTTGTGACTTTCGGGAAGGGCCCGGTAACTGCAAGCCGGATGCTATGGCTATGGCAGGTGAGGTGGGGCGTCATGCTTTTATGACATATTTTTTGTGTCCTTTTCATGGCATTCAGGAGCTGCTTTCACTGCATTTTTGATCACACCTTTAAGGACGCTCAAGGGGATTCATAACAATGTGTCTTTCAGTGCAGTAATCTGTTTCTGTGTGTGGTGCTGGAGATCAAACTTAGGGGTGTGTGCAGTAGAGGCAAGAACACTACCACTAGGACTGGGGAGATAGCTCAGTAGCAAAAATGTTTGCCTGGCAAGTGCACGGTCCTGAGTTCAATCCCTGGTACTGGCAAAAAATAAATAAATAAATAAATAAAAAAAAAAAAAAAACCTACCACTGAGCCCCACGCCATCCCAGGACTCATCTTTTCCATCACTCCTCCTCAATGCTTATGTATGTATGTCAATGTGAATTATATGTAGATCTATAATAATTACATATTTATATATTTTAATAAATGTCCATTCACTAAAAGATGACTTTAGAACTGTGAGATACTACATTCTACTGATAACATCTGTGATTTGCTTGAATTTTTTTCATGTCTGCCACAGTGCTTTTCAATAACAAACTATGTGTCTGGTGATTTCCACTTCTCCCACCAGATCGGAGAGATGGGCAGTGGTCTGTATCTGGGAGATCGTTAATTATTCGGTAGTTTAATCTTGCCTTCGTTGTTCTCTGCCCAAAATGCAACTAAATAAATATACGCAGTTTCCTGAGAATCTGGTCTCTGATTTTCTGATCTAATTTAGATGTTTGTAGCATAAAAGGATGCTTGGGGTGTGTGTATGTGTGTGTGTGTGTGTGTGAGAGAGAGAGAGAGAGAGAGAGAGAGAGAGAGAGAGAGAGAGAGAGAGAGTGTGTGTGTTTTAAATTCCATTAGGGGGTCTAATAGGAGCAATGAGTAGTTCCCATTGGCTCTAACCTACATTACCTTCTCTCCGCGGGAGGAGCATTATCCGCCGCCTGGACCGTGAGCGCGTAGGTCTGTCCCACCGTCAGCTCCACCCCCGGAGCGACCGTGATCAGCCCCGTTGTTTTATTAATGACGAAGTGTCCCTGATCCCCGACCAGGATTTCGTATGTGATCTCCCCGTTCGACCCTTCGTCTGCGTCGACTGCAGTGAGCTGGAAATGAAAAGTCACAGCGTAAATCCTCTTGGGACTGAAGTCTTCACTGTTGCAACACACACACACACACACACACACACACACACACACCCGCAGAAGGAGTCTGGTTTCAAAGCCAAAACGGAAGAGCGGTTTCTTGCCACAGATGCCATTATTGGCTCCAGCGAAGGCTTCTGGATTTTGTTAGAACACTGAAGCAATCTCTTTAGGAAAGATGCTGTTGTCCTCTTATGAGTGTGGTAAGCAAAAGGAGTGTTGGATATTGTAGAACTGCTTTAATTCCATGAAGAAAAAAAAAAAGGAGGAAAGAGGAAAGCGCTAGCATAAAATTGAATATCCCTATAGGAACTTTAATATTATTTTTCCCCTAATCTCCTGTTCTTGATAAATACACACATATTACTGCAGTCTGACACCAGAATAAAATGTAACAAGGAAATCTGGGTTGCCTTTAGGACTGCAAACCCTAATTTGCTCTGCTGTTTTCCATTCCAGTGTTCTTCTAGGCAGAAGAATCTTGTTCATTCTGGTTATAAAGGTCAGCCAAGACCTAGAGATTTACAAAGAAGAAAGGCATTTCTGATTATAGAATAGCAAGCTGAAGCTAGGCCAAGAAACCACTCTGTGAGAAGAGATACTGACTCCTTAGCCCCTAGTACAACTCTGAGCACCTCTCGATCTCATATGCACCTAGTCATAATCATTCTGAGGCAACTGCTATCCAATAAAGAACACATTAGGGTCATTATGCATCAACAAATAACTATTAATTTCATGATGAACATGCATTATTTATTATGTTTATAATGTTCCCTGACTTTCTGATACATACAGATTTACTAAAGAGGGTGAAAGAATAAAGCTAGATTCTAGAAGGAAATCATATCTCATGGCTATATCCATTCCCAGAATTTTCTGTTTTTAGTTTTCCCACAATTGATACCCAAGTGTAAAAATGGGAACCTTACTTGACAGAGTGGAAGACAACAATTTTCTTTTGAGTAAACATAAACATACAATTATAATAAATTAGCATGTAGCAATGTTTTACTTTATTACATTTTCTCATGTATTTCAAACCTTTCTGTTTTACTTCTAGGAAGTAGAGGCTTTGCTATACTACATGGACATATTTGGGAAATTGGTGAACATTCTGGTGCAAAACTTTGACAAAGTGTGAGTATATACAGTTACCATGACAACTCAATTCACTGTCAAGAATGCCATGCTAGTGAATGGCTTGTTTAGAGGCCTGGGTTTAATACCCTCAAGAAATGGAAAGTTCTTTATACAACACCTCATGCACAAGGAAATATATGCTGTATGTTGTATTTCTATTTGCATTATACAGTACATTTAGAATGATAATATGACAGAAACAGAAGCTATAAAAATAATTGAAAAGGCAAAAGGAAATTAGAGACAGCATTAATGTAGCTAAATTCAGAAGCTGATTATTTTAAGGTGGGCAGATGCCACTGCCAGAAGGGAAGATATGTCATGAAATGATTCTCGAACTCATGTGGGTGTGAGAGACACAGAGCTGGAGGCAAAGGGGAAGGAAACTATTTGAAGAAACAATCAAAGGAAAGAACAATATTTATGGAGAACTTTTCAAGTCAGACAAATCCCTTTGTGAATGCATTAAGGTAGAAAACCAGAAGGTGGGGGACCAGAGGAGATATCAGTTTTGATTATGATAAATCACTTAAACAAAATGTCTCGGGAAATCTTAATTAAGACTTAGCTCAAACTGGATTCAATATTAACATTCTTCCTGGGATTAAATTGGCTAAAGGAATTTAATGATAAATGGCAACTCATCAAGTTACAAAGACACGTTGAGGAGTGTGCTTCAGGGATGGAGGTATTGTGGCTACTGTTATTTAACATTTTCATAAATGAGGTTGGAAGCGAGGATAAATGGGATGATAATTAAATGGAGGTAGGCACCCATCTGGGGTGTGCTGTAAATGCCAATAGAGCTGCACATCACAGGAAACAGAAACACCCCAACGTTTCGGAGCCACCCGATCCCAAGCAAGTGAACACAACCAGCATCCATGAATCACTTAGCAGGTGAGAAGTTTAACCACCACAACAAAAATCTAACTTTAGGTTATTTAAATATATTTATACTAAATAGTCTTTTAGTACTAAATAATAAAGAACCAATATGTTTTTGTCATGTGTAAACAAAATAATTTGAAACAATAATGGCAGTTGAGGATTAGATAAAGAAACACTGGCTCTGAATAACTCAGTGTTGTTTATATCTTCTGTTCAAGAAACTAAGGCACCTTTTTCAACTTCAGTGGAACTATAGAATATATCTTTCTAATGTAGGTGCTAATATTGGGTAGAAATTTTTTTTCTGTATTTAGGACAGGTTCTACAGGGTCTCACTACATGGAATAGACTTGGAGTGATCTTCCTGTTTTCATCGCCCAAGTGCTGAGATTCCAGGCACCCACCACCACGCCCAGTTGCAATCACTGTCTCAGTGTGGCCCGTGGACAGGGCTAGTGTGGCATGCCAAGAATTGAACCCTGGCCTCTGAGCTCTGCCTAAGCAGGCACTTTAGTCCACTGAGCTATCAGGCCAGCACTTGGGTGGAAATTTAAGTGCTAATTTTGTGACAAATTGTGGTGATGGTTTAATTCAATGACAACTATACAAATGGGACCAATATCAAAAATATTTATGCATATGAATTTCATTTCTAACTTAGAGGAGAAATCTGCTTCTAAATTAAAAAGAGGAGGAAGTGGTCTTTGGTGAGCAGTCAGTGTGGTGTTTGTAACTCTCATTTGAATGGAAAACTAGCCCAAGTTTTGAAATTTCACTTAAGTAGTAAAGTCCCTAAATAAAACATTGAGTTCTCTTGTCTATATATTTCTGTGCTATGAACAATGGAAGTTTCTTTCATGAGATTTAATCTTGCCTATCAAAATCCCTTACTAGTATTCAAATGTGGATATTCCAGCTGTCCCCACTTTTCTTCACCGTTACAAAACAGAAACAGAATCTGCCTTTTTCTAATTTTTCTTTCTTATATTTAGCTGCAGTTTATTTCTGTCTTCAGCTGGCATTTCTTGGTTCTGAAAATGAGAAATATGGTTTTATGTGATGAAACAAATAATGTAAAGACCTGGATCATGATGAACAAAATCATTCAATGTGTAATAAAAGCCATATTTTATAGAGAAAGAAGCCTGAGACTATCAAGGATAATGTACAGGTGATTGGTACAGTATTTTATATGACTGGATACATTTTAGTAGAAATTAATTGCAGTTTAATTGAGAATAAATTGTGTGCTGACACTTCGTTGTGTTCATCTCTGGGGCATCCTGGGTCCTGCCTCCAGTAAACCTCATTGCCCTGAATCACCACTCTCGCCTGTGTTCAGGGGAGGCTAACAGCACCAGTGACCGAGGGGAGACTCAGCAGGGGACAGGACAGTGTTCCTACTTGTTCTCTGGTCTGTCTTTGGCTGTCTCAGACTGAGCACCCCACGGAACAAAACAGCACCAGGAAGCAGAGAGTGTCATCAATGGCACAGCATTCTGTTAGGCCGGATGCTAAACTTTCTGCTGAACATTCCTGATCCATTATTCAAAAATTTACTTTAAAAAAGTTAATTTTAAAAAGTCACCTCAACCATAAGAACACCACATTTTGTAGACAAGTTTTAGGATGGATTCCTCTTGGTTTTTGTATGATTATTTTGATAGCGATATTGTACTCTAAGATACGGGTATGTGGCACCTTCTGATTACCAATGCCTGAAACTAGTTTGGATTAACCTGTAGTTATTTATCACAATGGACGGAGACTTTATTATGAAGTTGATATTGTTGCTTCTGAATGTAAATCATAATGAACTCTGAAAACCAAAAAAATACACATTAAAGTCACAAGTAAATATTTTCTCTACCAATTGCTAAACTTTAAAAATTAAAAAAAAAATCTATCTAGATTACAACTTAGGCCAGTGAGATAGTTCAGTGGACTAAGTGCCTACTTAGGCAAGCACAGGGACTAGGGTTCCATCCCTGGAACCACATGCTGCACTAGCCCTGCCCCCAGGAGCGCTGAGCCAGGTACCAAGTCCAGGAGTGATGGTGCACACCTGTAATCCCAGGGCTGGGGAGGCTGAAAACAGGAGGATCACTATGATTCCAAGCTGTGTAGTGAGATTCTGTACAAAAAAAAACCCAAAGAAACAAACAAAAAAAAAAAACTAGGAACATTTTACAGTATATAGTTTTTGGCTAATAAACTCCAGATTGGTGGCATACTAAACCATGTACATCTGTGTTTAGAAAAGTCTAGAAAATGTGCAAGCTTTTCAGGAGAGGAGAACATCAGAAGTATGAAGTACCTGATATCACTGGGTAGTAACAGTAATAGTAATAATAGAATTCAATTCTAAACTTGGTTCAAGTAAAAGAACCACTGGAAGGATAATGTCTCTCTCAAAATAGTTGATGAGTTGACATGACAGTGTCAGGCAATGCAGCAGGAATATTGGTAGGAGTATTTACCATTAAAATTGGTAAATTAAATTGTGCTCTGTGGAGGTTTTTGTGAGTTTCCTCTCAGCGAGATGCATTTCTCCTAATAAAAGAAATCCATATTGCCGTGGACAATTAAAGTGAACATTAGGATTTTGTTGTGATTCAAAGGGAAGATATGATAGTGTTTTGGCATAGGTTACATTTAAAATCAGATATGAAAGATGAGAATAGGACTAGAAAGACTGATTAAGGGCAATCTGGGGACAAGGAAAGGGAATCTGTGAAGACAATGAGCTACAGAGAGTAAAGTAAAGTCATGCACTGCGTAAAGCTTTGGTCAACAGTGAAATCTTTTTTCTTCATATACCTGGGGATTGAGCTCCGGCTCTTGCGCTTGCCAGGCAGGCACTTAAGCAGCTGAGCTATCTCTCAGGCACAACAATGCAATCTTTGACAGTCATGGTTTCATAAGAT